TAAATTCGTACGCGGATGTTTAGCCTAACTGGTGGAAACGACCGGACCCACATGTACAAAATATCCGGATGCACCCCAGGCAAACTTTGCGGATACAAATCTGCAACCTGGATCAAGAAACGTCTGGGTACAAATTTACTAAAATACTCTCTCTCGAACTAACCACCCGGCAAACCTAGTATGTAGCCCGGAAGAACCGTCCGGGTGAGAATACCCAAGGATTCGAATTGTGCGACCAGAAGCGGATGGGCAAATTTACGCTGAACGTTTTTTGGAACTAGCGGCGGCTTCCCATTCTAAGCAGGGCGCAATCCGAGGGAAACCGAGAAACGGCTAAAAAACGGGCCGATGGGGGAATCGAACCCCGGCTGCGTCGTTAGATCCGCGTAGGCAGTACCACTGCACCACGGCGCAATACGTTGAAATCATTTGAAAGATTTTGTCGCTGTACGTGAGCCGCTTCTCTCCTCACACCATCTTAAAGGCGCAGGCTTCAACGTTTTTCTTTCTCAAGACACGTAACTCCTCTTAATCAACCTTTTCGCGTTTTTGAAGGCAAGATTTCTTTCCCTTCGATCACACGCACATTTTATGGCCAGTCTAGGCGTCTTAGATAGCCATAAAATTTATATTGTGCCGACAACAGCAAATGTTTTTTCGAAAATTTGGTGCTTTTTACCGAATGGATTGCTAAGAAGCTTTCTGGTTTTGACACCTAATAACAAACCTTTGGTGCTATGTACCGGGCCAAATCCCTTAATAAATTATTTCGTAAGAGGTAAGAATTCTTACTCCAAACACATTTTCTGCATCACGAAAAGTGACCGATCTATCCGGGTTTCCGGAAAATAATGAAAGTTCACGAATTTAATGCAGTTGTTTATGGGACCTGGCTCACCGTGCTGACTGACGAGTACTGGAGTCCAATATTTTTTTTAAACTAATGGCGAAGAAAAAATTATTTCGTAAGTAATTATCGTTTATTACTTCGTACTGCATGTACAGCTACAGTACAAGCATGAATTGTAATTCTACAAAAAATACAGACACCTGTGCTGATCTCTTTATTTTGTACCACAAAACTGGAGAGGAGAAGCCTGACTTAGCCTTCGATGCAGGATTTCAGCCTTAGCGTATTAATGGAGAAGCGTATTAATTTTAACAGTTTATACAATATTTATGAATGCCAGTACATTATATATTAGGGACACTATCAGCATAAACACATGACATTACAAAAATAAAATTAATGTGGTAGTGAGGTAAAGCACAAAATAACATAAGGAAACAAAACGAAAAAAAAACCACTTAACAAGGTGATTTCAGGAACACAGGAAGTTGTCTCCAATAACGCAGATTCAGTTCATTCATCAACTACAGAAAGCGTCGATACGATTATCATGCATAAGACCAAGTTGGCCGAACGCTTTACACACGGAATACTGCGTTGATGCCGTAGATGGCCAGTTTGCTGAGGGTGAACACATCCAGCAGCCGCAGATCCTCCGTGCCCCACGTGTGCACTGTCCCGTCCGCGTGGAAACCGCTGAACCTGAAAGCACAGCTACATAGTTAGATGCAAGCTCTGACCTCGCGCGTTACCATTCAGTCAAGTTACAACTTGATGGACGTTTCAGTCATCTTATTTTAGCGTGGTACATTTTGAAAATTTAAAATTTTTTACACTTTTTCTGGTTTAATTAAATAATCATTAACACTGATTATTGATTAAGTACTCAGTTGGGTTTTGTCATCCGCTACACTTCGTACTCACAGTAAAATGTAGTTGCGATGGAGACCCAGTCCTCCGGATAATCCAGTGTGCGCACCCAGCGCGCGTGCACCGCCGTGACCTTGGCCAGCATGTCGGCGGTGACCGGCGGGAAGTGTTCGTTTAGGGCGTGCATGAACCGCGCCGCCATGCGCCTGCGCCGGTCGCGGCGGAGCAGCAGCCGGGGAATGGTGATCTGCACTTTGTCAATGTCCAGGGCGTGCGACTCCCACGTTAGGTGCGCCATCATCTCCCCCTCCTTAGCGCGCAGGAGACGGTGGGGTGGACCATACGAATCCCCGATCTCGAAAACATTGTACATGCTCCGACCGAAGAGGTCGCTGACGGTCCAATTGTGCAGCACCAGGGTATCGCAGAAGTGCTTATACACCAGCGCCTCCCCGCTGCCGGATGCTTCGGAACATCTTCCTCGTGTTCAGGCCACGAAACACCTCCCGGTGTGTCGCTCGTTATGTCTTTGAAGTGGAGCCGTGGCACTGGCACCTGGATGTCGAAGTGCATTGTGATAGCGTGCAGCCATAAGAACAGGAACCTGATGTGGTTGGGCGGGAGATACTGCAGCAGTGTCAGACTTTTGGTGGTGGCACTGATGCAGCGGTGCAGAAGAGTGATTGCTTTGAAGCAGTTGTCGCTGTCGGACTGCAGCTTCCAACAGCATTCAAAGGACATGATGATATGTTCAGCGAAGATGGCACTGCTCAGCAGCTGCTGCCACAGCGCGCACACCCTGTCGCAACAAACGGCTAATCTGAACGGATTTTTAATTTGAACGGATGTACTCTGTACTATGTAATTTGCACACACAGAGCCGAAACGTTCTCATTCTCTATAAGACTGCATACACATGAGCCACACTCTTTGTTTTCACTTCTAAAGTCTGAACCCAAAATTAGGAAACGGACCGTATTACAAGCCCATCTCAAGTCTGATTACAAGCCCGATAGGCGAGCACTGCAAGCGAGCATATAGACTCCGTTTTCCGTGTATAACGTACGAATTACGACGGAAGCTCAAGCCAGAGTTAGTCGAATATCGCTGCTGAAGCGTTCGGTTCTCGTAGCTTTATCTCTTACCGCCTGCATCCTATTTGGGAGTGAATATCCAGATAGGAGAAAATATCGCTGAAGAGCCACGGCGTCAGTTGACCGATTCGTGCAGTCGTTAGCCAAGCACAGCTCTCTGAACCTGAAACCATCAATCACTCTTAAATCAATTACACATAATCCAAAAACCATACGGCCCGGTTACTGACCTTCTTCCAGTGGGCGGAGGTTTCGGTATCGGATGGGTGGTAGAGTGGCCCGGCTGGCTAAATGTGTCCGCAGCACGCCCAACAACGTCCCCTCCGTCGCCTGCAGCGTCTCCGCGTCCCGGGCGGAACCAGCGACTACAAACACGCAACCATCCTGTAGGACGCGGAGGTGAAAGCGACAACGGTCAAACGATTTAGGCCATGCGGATCGCGGTTTGAAAGCGTCGCGTAGATGCTTGATGATGCGGAATTTATCGGAGGCGTCGTTGAGAACCATCTGCGCCTCGGGAAAGGAGATATAGTGTCGCGTGTAGAGTAGACCGCTGTCACGCTCCAGCAGCGGCGGACCGGGGGCGGCCAGTGCGCAGCCGTTTGGCCGCGGTCCACCGTCTCACAACAAGTGACCGGGTGGTCGTGGCCGGGAACGTCCCGCCGCTGCGTAGTGACGCTGAGCATTCGACAGGAGTCGTTACAACCAATGAGGGGATGCAGCAGGGCGGCTGGTCGGAAGCGGAAGGGTCCGCCGTCTTCATCACGTAGCGCCGCGTGTAATTTCTCGTTATGGCCAAAATTTTCAGAAGGATCCCAGAAGCACGGCAGCGACCAGACATTGCCCATATGGATCCACCGCGGCGCGGCAGTTGTGGAGGCAAAGTGAATGAGGGCCTGGTCGTTGTTAATATCCTGAATGTATCCCAGCCACCACGTGTCGTCAGCGTTGCGGATGGCCACCGTGTTCTGGTAGCTGAATTGGTTGACATCCACCAGAAACGGTCGATACGGCGGCATGGCTCCTTGAGGCGAATCCACTGTTGCGTGAGAAACCACCTGAGTATTTTGTGTCAAATATCAAGAGAATTATTATCAACTTTGCTGAAATTTCACTGCGAACTGCCAGGATGCTAGTGCTACACTGAAGAGAAAAACTGCGCTTCATACAGACATTTTAACCTACGAGTAGGTGATAAACTTATTACCGGATGTTTAGCCTAGGTGGCACAAGCGCATCTTAATGACCGGATCTGCATGTACCACTTTCTAAGCAGGGCGCAATCCGAGGGAAACCGAGAAACGGCTGAAAAAGGCGCCGATGGGGGAATCGAACCCCGGCTACGTCGTTAGATCCGCGTAGGCAGTACCACTGTACCACGGCGCAATACGTTGAAATCCTTTCAAAGATTTTGTCGCTGTAAGTGAGCCGCTTCTCCGCTCACAACTTGATAAAATATCCGGAAACCTTAGGCAAAATTTCCTCATACGGACCTACCAACTAGATCAATGAACGTCCGGATGCAAAACTGATTAAAATGCTCTCGCTCAAAGTAACCGCCCGGCAGTCATATCATACAGTTCGGTATAACAACAGCCTGGGTGAGAATCTTTACCCAGATACTTTTGCGATTTGAACTGCGCGAAGAAAATCAGATGGGCAAAATTTACGGCGGACGTTTTCTTGAACCGGCAGAGAGATTTGCCGTCTTACAGGCACCAGCGCCCGGTAAAGGATTCTCCCGCCGGAGTGAACATTTTCTTTTCACACGCCACAAAACTTTTCTGCCTTTTCACGGTTGAGAATTCAATATTCTTTCCAAAAATACGATAGAAAGCACGAAAAAACCGATAAAAGGCGCGCCAATCGGGCGCGTTTTAGATTGAAGTATCCGTAAACGTTGTATTGCACCGACTACCGTTTTTTCATCGGTTGGTTCTTTACTGAACCCTTGTGGTTTTGACGTGTAGTGACGTAGTCCCACGCAGCTCCACTTTTTCTACTAGAGCGGTTTGAACAGGACATCTTGTTTCATAATTTATGTTACAACAGTCTGTTTTAAAACCAGCAAAACTTGTAATATAAAATAGTAATACAGTTGCTCTTTATTATGTACATTACGTTTTAGAGTGACTATCCACATAAATACACAAAAGAAAATACCGTACGTACAACGTCGGAAAAAAAACAAACGTAATCGCAAGGAAACAACAAATCTGGAAAAGGTTAGCTTTACAAATGGCCATTTTAGGAACAAGGAAGCAGTTTCCGATAAAGCAGTGATCACTAACCCATTATTTACCCATTACAGCCCATAGCCATGTGTTTTTTCGTATTACCATTTTCTCCTTTCCTAATCATATTCAGTTTTTTCATCCGCTACAGACGACGTCAGGATAACAGTTAACATGAAGGAGACCAACGCCGGCAGAATGCATTATATACGGAATACTGCGTTGATGCCGTAGACGGCCAGTCGGCTCAGTGTGGACACATCAGCCGCAAATCCACGGTGTCCCACATGTGCAATGTTCCATCCGCGTGGAAACCGCTAAACCTGAATGCAATCACAACTTCAATGCAAGTCTGACCTCCGTTAGCAGTGTTCTCTTCTCAGAAAACTGGACAAAGCGAAATGTTTCGTACTGCAGTTTCGCATACTGCAATGTTTCGTACTGCAATTTCGCTTTAACGGGGTAGAGATGGTCGGCAGACTCGGCACAACTCAGTAGGGCGATTTTACCGCCACTGACTGGAACCCTATGACCTCCTTTCATTTCTGTACTGTATCCCAGAGGTTAAAGCAGTGACGTAGCTGAATTCACCACAGTATAGACTTGGAGACTGCGAGCCAGCAATTCCAGCCGCAAAGACATTTAGCTAGCGTAGCATAGGGGCTTGATTGTACAGCCTGTTTGGAAACTTTTCACTCAAAGCGAAAACCAGGGGTGTGGACTACACACAGCCTTGCAGTGAAAGAAAGCGCTTTGTATTCTGTGTATTCACATAGAATCCATTCAGTTTTAAAAACAATGTTAAAGCGGATGAATGCTGTATGAAAGATTTCCCATGTTGTTGCTATCCGCTCTGACCACTATGAGCGCAGCATGACTGTCGCACATTTATGACGGAGGCTGTCCCTTCTATGTACTGTAATTCCAAACGGGATATTGATTCTTGTTCTTCTTTTGTTCGTACGGGACGTCCTAATAAATTCAGGTCTGTGATCTGGCCGCACAGTGAACTGGTGTTTCGCGGTTCTGCTAACCGATCAAACCTGCTTCGTGACACGCATCATGAACAGTCGTTTGGTCTCTGAAAGCGCTGTATAAGCAATTCGAGTTGAGATGCTTTAATAGCATCGTTTTAGCATACAGCGTGGATACAGGAGCACTCATTACAGGCGATTTGACTGAAGAATTTCCCAACCGGCTATAATAAGATATTTGAAAAGAAACGTGTTCTTGAAGCCGATGGTTCTTGTACTCACACGACCAGGTACTGACGAATGGCCTGCCACTCCTCCGGATACGCCAGCGTGCGTACCCAGCGCGCATGTACCGCCGTGACCTTGGCCAGCATCTCCTCCGTGACCGGCGGGCAGTAGTCACTCAGCGCCTGCATAACGCGCGGGGTGGCGTGCGTCCGGCGTTCGCTGCAGCGCACCAGCAGCCGCGGAATGCTGATCTGCAGTTTGTCAATGTCCAGTGTGTGCGCCTCCAGCGTGAGTTGCAGCATCCGTTCCCGCTCGCGGACCCGCAGACGCTGATGCGGCGGACAATGCGGATTCCGCTCGAAGACATCGTACGCTGTCCGGCCGAACAGGGCGCCTACGGTCCAGTTGCACAGCACCAAGGTGTGACAGAGATCCTTGTAGTTTAATGCGTCGAGCGCGGCCGGATGTTTGAGAGGCCGCTCGACGTACCACTGCATGTATCCCGGTGCGGTGCGGACCATGTCTTTGAAGACGAGGAATGGTAGCTGCATCTGGTATTTTTGTTGCATGCCCTCCAACCAGTACCACAAGAAAGTGACGTTGTGGACCGGGAGGTATCGCAGCACGGTCAGGCTTTTGGTGTGGGAAGTGATGTAGCGATTCAGGAGAGTAGCCGCTTTCAAGCAGTTACCGCTGTCGGATTTCAGCTGATAACAGCTTTCGAAGGAGATGCTAACATGCTCAGTCATGTGCGCGCTGTTCAGCAAATGCTGCCACAATGCACAAACCCTATCGCAAATACGCATGAGTAATTTGGTCAGGCAACAACTGCCAACAAGCATACGTTCGATCACAAATATTGCACGTACTTCGATGTTTTAAGCATTCTGGACACTTTTACTATATGAAATCGCTTGCCGGACGCCAAAGACACGGTATTCTCTTCGTTGTTCCACATTGGAATTAATATTAATTGGAGTTCCACATTTTTTATTAATCTCGGATATAAGCTTGTTTAAAAACAATAATTATCATGTAATCAACTTTGACGTGGAATTTTTATGTGGCAGTTGACACCACACGTAATAAAATGCCTACGCTATGGAACACTAATTACGATTAAGATGATTCATTTAGACATTGAAGAATTAACGAAAATCGCTCGTGTTACTCGTGCTCTGTGGATACGCGTTCAGAGTTCCTAAAACAGCTGCGGCATTTCTTTTAACAGCCGCTCAACTTATCTCAATTTCTGAAAAGCTGGTGTCTGCTTTTGCTGGTGAATTTAAAATAAGTTTTTGGAATGCTCTTGAAACAACGCGGAGGATACCGTGTCTCTGGTCTCTGGCCTTCGGTTCGGTAACCAACTCCATGTAGTAAAAAATGTCCAGATTGTGAAAAACGTCAAAGTGTGTCTTACCCTTTGGCTCTCATTTGGGAGTGAATATCCAGGTAGGACAGGATATCGCTCAAGAGCCACGGCGTGAGTTCCCTGATTCGTGCCGGCACCATCAGTGCATCGCTTTCCAAACCCGGGGCCACGAAGACTGAATGAAACATAATTTATTACATTCACTGAGTGGCCAGTACTTATACTGACCGCCTTCCTGCGACCAACCGTTGCGGTCTCTGATGGGTGGAAGATTCGCTCGGCTGGTTACGTGTTTCTGCAGTACTGTCACCAGTGTGGCCTCCGTCATCTGCGCCGTCTCCGCGTCCCTGGCGGAACCGGCCAGAACAAACGTACAACCATCCTTCTGGACGCGCAGGTGAAAACGACAGCGGTTAAACGGAAACGTTTCCACAGCGTCGCGGAGATGCTTGATCATGCGGGATGGGTCGGCGGCGTCGCGGAGAACCTTCTCCGCCTCAGGAAAGGGAATACAGTGTTTGGTGTACAACAGAGCATTCTGTCGCTCCGACAACGGCGGACCCGGGGGCGGCCACACACCGGCGACCTGACCGCGGTCCACCATTTCAAAACAGGTGGAGGGTGCGTGAGCGTTGTCGATAGAACCTCGCCGTTGCGTGGTAACATAGAACATGCCGCAGGAGCCCTCACACCCATGGAGGCAGCGCAACCATCGGGCGGGTCGGAAGCGAAAGGGTCCGTCGTCTTCATCGCGCAGGGCCACGTATAGTTTCTGGTGCTGATCGGGGTAGGGTCCTCCCGGTTCCAAGTAGAACGGCAGCGGCCAGATATTTTCCATGTGGATCCATCGCGGCGCGACCGTTGTGGAGGCAAAGTGGATGAAGGCCTGGTCGCCGTTAATATCCTGAATGTATCCCAGCCACCAGGTGTCGTCGGCGTTCTTAACCGCCACCGTGTTCTGGTAGCTCATCTGGCTAGCCTCCACCAGTAGCGGCTGATACCGCGGCAGCGGTAGCGATTCAGGCAAATCCATCACTGCCTAAGAAACCCTCGATTTATTTACGCCGAATTAACATAAACTTGGAGGAAATTTCGCTGGAGATCGTCAAAAAAGTGAAAAAGATAAGTCTAAGTGAGCACAGCTCAAGATAGCAATACATGGACTCACAATCGCATGTATGTACTGCTTAACTACTAGTATCACATAGTCTTCGGACAGAGTTGTTCCGATATCGGGCTCTCTTACCAATAGTTATGTTAACCGTTTCGGGCAACAAGATGTGGAAGGGATAAACACCACAAGGTCTTCAAGTTCCACGTGCTCCTGCAGTGACCTGCACTCGTCAGTCGCATACATTATACGTGGTGAATTTCAGTTATGAAACACCAAACGCGTTTCCGATTCGAATAATTGTTAAACAGTACAGCTTTTAAATAAGCGGCCCTGAAAAAGTTAGTATGCATTCCCGCGTTTTTAGCTGACATAGGCGGTGGTTAGTGATTATAGTGATGTAGTAGTATCAGACCTCGCTAGTTACGGAAAATGCGCCCGCTGTTACCGTAATTATCGAATTTGTGGCCCTGGGGTGCAAATAGTTCGAATGCCATGGCGGAGGGGGGCTTATTTCGGGGAGGGGGCGCAATTTCGCTGGGGTGGCATTATTTTTCAAACGGTATATTTTGGAGAGGGGCATTATTTTTCAAACAACTGCGCATCGTGTTCTAGCGAAACTGAGCGCAGCAGTTACCGGTATTATTGGCGGTATATGCAACTGCACAACCTTGGGAGCAACATTTTGGAGTGTATACCTCCTTATACAGCTGTTTGCCAACGAGCACCACATTATATTGATGTCCGTTAACTGTTTCTCATTAAATTACAACAACTTTTGCGGCTAAATTTTGCGGTATACCTATCATTTTGCGGCGCTCGACATTTATTAACGGCACCCTGGGGCGTAATTTCGGGGGGTGGTCTTATTTTTCAAACAGAGTCGGGGAGGGGGGCTTATTACGGGGGGGCTCTTATTGCGGGGGGGCCCAAATCCGATAATTACGGTATACAGATAGTTAAGAGTTCAATAGAGGGAGCGTGCAAATTACGCTACGATTTACGCTGTGCATGCAAATAAAACCGAGTTTCGAGTTATATCGCGTGTTACGCCAGTAACGCCACCTAAGACAAAACATAATTTTTATTTGAGTTACGGTAAGAGTTGTTTTTTTAATAGCGCGTTACGCTTTGGAGTTGCGTTAAAACTCGATAACTCACGAATAACTCGCTTTAAGTAAAACAGTTGGGTAATAACTGCGGAGGGGTGCGTTGTGTGGTGTACGTACAGTATCTGTAGCACAGTTGTTAGTCTTAACACGTGGTGGATACTGTGTGTAATTGCTGACTGCACGATAACGTTTATCCGCGCAGGGAAATGGGAGAATAAAGATGGATCGATAATTACTCTGTGTAACTAGCCTATCTACAGTGTACCGTGTACACTAAGACAGCGCGGCGACAACGGTGTTTTGTAGCTTTACTCACACAACAAATAACAAGAAAGATTGAATCATGCTAAACTCATATCCAAAGCAAAACTTGAGAAAAACGCTACTGACTTCACAACTGAGAAAAGCATTAGACTTATAAGAGAAAATCCACGATTCTACAGAGTACACACAGGATAAAATGGAAAGTCATAAAATGCCAACACTTGCACAAACACACCCAGTTTCCATTAAGACGGTAGTAACTCATGTACAGAGTACATATACAACATGCACGCTAAGTGACGGTTAATGACACAGTTCTCACATCGGCACTTAGGCCTAATTAGATAAGGGAATATGCATGCGGATATGCGGGATAGCGCCCTTGAAGACGTAATCGATGCGATGCACATATGTAATCGGTATCGATCCACTTCCGGGTATTATGTGGACACATATGTACTGTATGTATACAAGTACACGTGCACAGAGAAGCGCGGCGTTACACAGTACTCAAGAACTGTACATTTAAATTCCTGAGGCTTCTTTTTAATATTCGGCATCAGCCAGTACACAAATCACTACGCCTGCGCCCATTTATTAATTATGTGGCATTAGGATTATTATGTAGTGTTGTAAACATGCATTGCAGCGCTTGCTAAACGTTGGAACGACGAAATTTGGTTTTTATTCAGTCACGTCCTATACTTCTAATCTCTATGTAATTCTAACAAGGCAGGCAAAAGGAATTGGATTTCAAAATATTTCTGAGATCAGTAACAAATTCAGCTTTTACACCATCGGATACTAATCGTACATCACAGCTTGACCTTTTGAGCGCCGGGTTGCAGCTCATGCAGCTGCTCGCTATCCAGTTTGTCGGCTTCCTCCGCCATGATGTTGCGAATCTTCTTGTTGCGATTAGTGTCCGGCTTTTCTTTTACTGCCGGGATGGATCCGAAGATTTCATCCATGCGCTCCAGATTCTGTCCCTTCGTTTCCGGTACAAAAATCCAAACAAAAATGGCCATAACTAAGCAGAATGAGGCAAATACCTGCAATCCAATACAGTTCGTAGTGCAAGACGTTGCATCGTTATACTACGTATTGTAATACAAATTAATACAGTACGAAGAAGGGTGCCGGTATATCCATGGTACCAGATTCGGGTACGTGTGCAAAAACTTTCGCTTTCGCGCACTCCCCAGCGCTTTTTTACGTTTTTTCATGATATTCGATAGCCAAATGATTTGTACAAATCGGCATGAAAACTGTTTGTGCGAGCAACATCCGGTTGGACAGCTATCTGTGTCTCATTATAAACCCATCCTCTTCGAATTTTGCATGAAAACGCACGTTACCATAAAGATCATTTTTCCACCGAAGCAGCTTTTCACCCTGTTTTCGAAATGATTAAATGAATTTCAAACATTTTAAAAACTAATATAAAATGTGAGAAAATGGTGAAAAGCTGGTTCGGTGGAAAAATGATCTTCATGGTAACGTGCGCTTCTTATATGCAAAATTTGAAGGAGATCAGCTCATGATGAGACTTTCGGTGCACATCAGTGCGTTTAAACATTGGGAATTTTATTTCACCGACCACCCTCCAAATGTTGTGCGCACAAACGGTTTTCACGCCAATGTAGACAAATCATTTGGCTGTAGAATTAATAAAACAACGCAAAAAGTGTTTCCGAGCGCGCGAAAGCGAAAATTTTAGCACATGTACCCGAATCTGGTACAATGTGCCGGGCACTGCCGGCATACTTCCATTAAAAACCGTTAAATTAAACACTAGAAAGGAAAAGCCCTAGAAGTACGGGTAGTATCAACCGGCTTACCACGTTGGTGTAGTAGGCTATATCGGTGAGCATAATGGGCGCCAGTTTGGAAATGATGGCATTCCACGTCCAGTTGGACATGGTACACAACGCCGTGGCTTTGGCGCGCACCCGCATGGGGAAGATCTCCGACTGGTACACCCACACCACCGGACCCCAGGTGGCGGCATAGCTCACGGTGAACAGGTAGATGAACAGTAGTGCGCCGTACACGAGATCCTCCTGGACGTGGACCGACAATCCCAGGAACCTGCCACAAACACCCCACATCAGACATCAACTTATTATTATTATTATTATTATTATTATTATTGGAAAATCTTTTGTAATTTCCGTTACATTAGCGCTCAGTTTACGACTGACTCACATCGCTATAAGGGTATGACACAGACACATTGCAAAACCGCCAACAACCAGCAGCCGCTTCCTCCCGATCCGTTCCACCCACCACATGGCGAAGAACGTTGCCAGGAAATTCACCCCGGCATTGAGGATGATCAGGGTGATAAAGGCATGGATCACCGGCATCCCAATGGCACTGAACACCTTCCCGCCGTAATACAGCATGACGTTACACCCGGTCCACTGTTGGAAAAACTGCAGCGTCACCCCCAGGGCCACCCGGTTGCGGATGCCGGGCTGCAGCAGCTCCCACCACGTGGCGTTTCCGACCTTCTTCTCGTAGTTGACGTTCTCCTTGATGGTGGCGAACTCGGCCAAGAGCTTCTCACTATCCGGCCGCGTGTTCCGCAGTTTAGACAACGTCTTCAGCGCTTCATCATCCCGATTGTGATCAATCAACCAGCGCGGGGAAAAGGGTAGGATGATGATGAGCAGCCAGAGCAGCGCCGCCGGGATCAGCTGCATCCCCACCGCCAGCCGCCACTGCGCGTCCCCGCGGACGACCGACATGATCGCCGCGTTGACCGAGCACGCCACCAGCACCCCGAACGCCATCATCAGCTGGAAGGTGGTGACCAGCCGCCCCCGGATGGACGTCTTGGAGGTCTCGGCGATGTACAGCGGGACCACGGCGCTCATCAGCCCCACCCCAATCCCGGAGACCACCCGCCCGATGTACAGCGTCACCAGGTGACTGGCGCCGGTCTGCATGGCCCCGCCCACCATGTAGAACACCGACCCGGTGAAGATGGAGTAGCGTCGCCCGAGGAAGTCGGCCAGGATGGAGGCGCAGGCGGCGCCCGCGATGCACCCGACCAGGAAGGTGAAGGGGATGGAGCCCATGATGTCCGGGGCTTCGGGGGTCTCCGGCAGGGAGATGTTGGTCATCTCTAGGTAGGAGCCGTTGAGGTTCTCCCACAGGGTACCGTTTTCGTACTGCACCGCGGGGCGGTCGTCGGTGCCGTTGAGGAGGGTGCCGTCGTCCAGGGTGGCGTTCAGCACTTCCTCGTGGCGGATGCCGAATTCAACACCGAAACTGTTCATGCTCATTACTTGCCTGCAAATTATATATTCGATTAATTGGGGTAAGTGAAGTGATTGAAAAAGCCGGGAAATATCCAAGGATTCTTATTCGGGGAGCTAATGGTTCTAAATACACCGCTAGTTGGTTACGGAAAACATTAGGGTAGTCATTTATCATTATGTAGACTTTTATAAAATTAGTACGAGTATACATTTATTATTATTTAGGCTTTTATAAAATTAAAGGTTTGTCCGGATAATCAAAAAGGCGGACGCATAATTAAGTATAAAGCTTAATTACTACATCCTAGAGTAGCTGGCTGGCATCTTGCTTAATTAATTAATTATGCAGCACTAATCAGCACAGACAACAAATAAGCACAAATAAATTTGCAGCCAGGGCACATTCTCTGTCGAGTTTTAAAGCCGCTCTCATATCTGCCTGTTTCTTCTAAATTCTCGATTAATGGATGCTAATTTTTCGACATTAATTCTTGACATTTAGCTAGGTTAAAATCACATGCTAGACTGTCAGCCTAGCCGGAAATGGGCTATCTGCTCTGATTGCAATTAAATTAAATTTAATTAAATTAACATTCTCCAAAGAAACAATTACCTGCGGAAATGGGCTACCTGCTCTAATTGCAGTTAAATTAAATTTAATTAAATTAACATTCTCCAAAGAAACAGTTACCTGCGGAAATGGGCTACCTGCTCTGATTGCAATTAAATTAAATTTAATTAAATTAACATTCTCCAAACATTATGATTTTGAAAAAGAGTAGAACGGACTTCATAAAGGTCAGCTATACACCCACAGCTGAACATACGGGAATGGGAAGGTGTGCAGTAAAACCATTTTCCGATTGTGATGTTGCTGAAGCCCAGTGAACTGTATTTTCATGTATGTAGAGCATAATAGCAGTACTGTAACAATATTGTTGCAGTACTGTTATACATACATACAGATATATAAATATATTACAGATAAAGAAAGGAAAAATGCTTAACACTGCTATAAGCACTAAGCAGACGCTAGCTGCAGTAAATATTCGCAGCAACGGTCCGGTAATTACCCAATGTCTCCCATTTCATATCCAAAGAGAAATCCACCCATGGCGGCTGCCAGTGCGACTAGCCAACCATAAACCGGTATCGATTCCATTCTTTCGACAGAAATCTTGTTAACACCAGCAAAATTCCAGTAGTGCAGATAGAAATCGCAAAAAGAATTCAGTTAGTCATTTTGCATGCGGTGGGCAGAATAAAGGTCAAATGCAGCTCTGCTCATAAACAAATACAGGAAACAGATGATTTACACAACTGGAGACCCCTATAAAAATGCTGTGCCTCAAATTCGTAGTGATAAGTGATGGCAAATGTTAAGGATAATATGTTCTACAATTTTACACTATACGCATTTAATAAATTCTCAATAAAATCCGCATGTTACTGGTACAACACCATATGTAATAATAAATACGGAGTGTTAGGAAAACTTTCCCTTGTAGAGTCTCGGGGCTCATATTGGTCATTATTTTAGCACTTAGCGTTTTGACTGAAGAATGTGTTTACATGAGGATTTTCCTCAACACTTTGTCTTGGTTAAGTGCGGCGTAATGAGCGGCATTGTCAGACAGTAATCCGACACTGTACCGTCGCTTACACGCCAACGGAAATCCCGTTGACAATGAGTCTGTTAGAAAATGCGATTCCGCTGTTGCATGTAGAAGTTGCGAAGCCGGCCGGCTAACTAGCCACCGATGCGCTGCCAGCGCAGAAATACTCTGTAGTACAGTACCAGTGCTTTGTAAAAAAAAACGCCTGGTGACCAGGAAACAACAGTTATTCGATAATATCCGTACACGTGCAGTCCATTCCATGAATGTTTAATGTGTTTTTTTTTAGATGTAAATGAACGGGATCCCTGAAATCCCTTCTGAAATAATAAGGCGGGCTTACATTTCAGTGGCCACACAAAATGGCCTACTGCGCTTTTTTTTGGTTTCTCGTGAACCACACGCCCTATTTTAAACGAAGTACTTTATTTGGTTTGAACAACAGCAGTTCTACAATATGGAGCAGGAAAATTCGCAGTTTGTTGCCACCTTGTTCCGTCATCCGGTACAGGGATTTCGGTGCCTACGCATGTTCGGTTAATTAGGCTAGCAATAAATACAACGACACGTTTCTCGCGCTGTCCTAGGGGCATGCAGCCCTGCACGCCGCGGAAAACCTGACCACATTTAAGAAAGCCTATTTTTAAGTCTGGTTTCTTTGTGAAGCGGTTGTCTGTTTGTGCAGCGGCAGGGACGTGATTCACGTGACACACATCACCATACAATTCAGCCAAAAGCTACAACGGATGCATAATTTGCGATCAGCATTCTGCTACTGGTACGTATATTGAGCGGTTTTTCCGCTTACACTCTAGAGATTGGAGAATGTCACTGGAGATACAGCGCGGCAACGCGGGATCGGTTATGGGAACTGATGGAAGGAGCAGAAAAGTTTAATGAAATTTTGTTGTTATAAGGAAATGTCGATGCTTTCAGTTATTATAAAATTACGTTGTACCATAGGTGAAATAAAAGCACTCTAGATGCTCCAGGTGGGACTCATTAGCGAAAACGAAACAGCCCGCTCGAACCGTGAAACACACTAAGCGGTGGTGGCGGCGAAATTGGGTCACGCTGTGACTTCGATCATTACAATGCCTGTTGTTGCAGAAAATCGTCGGCACGCGGTGTATTTATCTGTACATATGCAGCTTCTTATACAAGATACGCCGGCTTCTCTCATATTTCGGTCACTTCAAGTATATCGTTTTCAGATTTTTCGTATCGTTTGCATATTTTTCGGTCACCTGCGTAAGGAAATTTCCTGGCAAAGAAAATGCCAGAAATAAACAGCTGTCATAGTAAAACTTTGCTCATGAATTTCGAAGCATAAGCTTAAAAAACAATTCAAGCAGAAGCCAAACGGAGAACAGGGATGTAAGATAACCGCTCTCCTAAGAATTCTTTCAAAACAGACGGTGAACAGTGAAACTAGCAAACATCTGTTGGACATAGCGCACTATGATTCAGTCTTTTATATGCCGGCAATTATAATTCAAATGAGTGCGTACGTATTCTCAGAACGTACCAGTTTCGCAAACGCTCTGTACCGGTCCAAAAAAATGTAGAAAAGCGGGAACAATTTTTGTAAATTTTTTTGTAAATTTTTGGCAGTGGTTTCGTTTTTGTTTGTTTGAAAATAATTGAAATTCAGCAGTAATGAACTAAACCTGGATACATCATAACCGCTCACATCGTTGCACATAGTAGATACTGGGAAAATGCAGGATACCGGTCCAAAAAAAAATTACGAAGTCTTTTTATAATACGCAACTTAACTGTACTGGCATTGTGATGATTTTGCTCACCAGCTCAAGTTCCATTAAAAAAAAAACTTGTGATACAAATACACAGTAAATCCATCCGTTAATCGTGAAGAAACATCAACATAGCACGATAAAAAGCGTAAATCGCTGTAAAAGAATAAAAGCTGCACGGTGAATGATAGGACCAACGAAAGACGGGTGAAATAAGAATGTACACAGCTGCCCAAAATCAACGCGAGATTCAATAGAAAAATTCGTACATTTCCCACAAAAAAAACAAACACGAACGAACCAGCAATCATGAAAGCGGGCCTAGTTGCTGCTGGCGGCGCCGGAGATGCCGAGGATCCCGAGGAAAATGTAGACCACGTCCAGGTACAGCTGCATCGCGCCGGCCACGTGCTCCTCCGGGCTCAACGCGTACCGCCGGCCCCCGATGATCATCTGCGTGTCGTACGCCAGAAACTGCAGAACAACCACGACGCAATTGTACCGCGCACAAAAAACAAGTTAATTTAAACCCTTTAATACCCGTCTAATTTTTACTATTTCAAATTTATTAGACGTAAATCCTCAAAAATCGACCGGCCGTAAAAAATTTGTAACACTACAAAAAAAGAATAAAAATAAAATAATGGTAAATAAGAAATTATAACAATAAAATAATAATAAATAATAAAAAAAACACAGTAAATCATAACAAATAATGTTATTATTACTGACTAGTGATTATAATAATAATAATATCAACGACAGTAATAATACAAGAAAGACTTACGCCCATGAAGACCAGCGCGATGAGACCGGAATAGAATCCGTGGTACCACTGCAACCGAAATAATTAATCGCCAAAATAATTACGGCACAGTCACTAAAGCATGTTATTTCCCATGGAAAACTCGGAAATTTAATTAAATTCCTATCGAACTGCGGTCAGTGCGGCGCGAGCGCAGCAGCTAAATCGAAATAATTTATTTCTGCCAAAACAACAAACTAAGGAAAAACAGGGTTAGTACTCCAATCAACCGGCGAAGTGGCTTGGATTCTCGAAAAAATAAATGTAATTTAATTAAACAATGTTCAATTACTTTTTAATTACACATTATACGAAACTGATATACACAAAACATTTTATAAAAAAATAATTAAATTTAATTTCTGAAATGATTTGTCTGTTAAACACAGTTCAGATTGATAAAAAATTAGGAGAATACATACGAAAAAGAGCAGAAAAATGGGCGAAAGAAAAACGACAGTCAATTGCAAAAAAAACATAGCGGCGTAGAAACGGTGACTGTACCGGAGTGTGGAGGGAGGGAACGAAGGCGAACATGAGGGTGACCAGGCCGAAGAGCATGAGGATGATGGCGGCGATGCCCAGCACCCATCCGTAGCGCGTCATATCGAACTGCACAGACAAACAGGACAGTCACTTAACCATACACATATTAATAAAGTACAGCTATGAATTCCACTTCAAGAATATTAAAATATTCCCAATTCTAAAACAGATATTATTACACATCAGCTCCTGGTTTCTTGCACTGATTCTCTACAATATCCATTAAATATGCTTCTTTAGTAAATAACTTTTTCTTCATTTGACTAGCAAGATTTACCTGGTCATTTAACTTGAATAAAAAATATTTTAAATATATAAATCAGGATAGAATTTTTACGTTATTTTCATCGTTTTCAGTCCTTGTACATTTTTAACAGCATTTATATATAGCATTTAACAGCATATTTTAACAGCATTTATTGTATATATTCTACTTCAAAAAAACAATTTTCTACTTATTGGTTCAAGAAGATTAGCTTATGTATTACCTGATTATTTAATGTCAGTAACACCATTTTGAGATACTTAACATATAATTCAATTTCAATGCTGAATCGTTTTTTTCTTTCACGTATTTTTACTATCCATTCAATTTGAAATATGCACTAAATATTCTCCTGTCATAGACAAATATTTTCTAACTCATTCAAGAAAATTTACGCGTTTCCGGTATGATTTAATTTCGGTGAAAAATTTAAATCCCAATTAGGTATTTCCAAATAAGTCACAGAAATTAATTTTATCCAATTTGCTACGGATGTGTATACCTTGCAGAAGGCGGATCCCACGGAGATGGTCAGACAGCAGACGGCGCAGATGCCGATGGCCATGAGGACGATCTGGGTGTCGTAGTAGCTGGAGATGGTCGCCGTCATGTACGACATGGCCAGCGTCTTAAAAATGCAAAAAACGATCATCATCGCACCACGGAGAATAAAGTGGTCAAGTTTTTCCGTACGAAGATGCTGAGCAGGACGAGATTGACGGGGTAGCGACGCGTCAGGCCGGTGCAGCAGACCAGGGTCAGATAGGTGGCCAGAAAGACGCCGTAGGATAAATAGTAGAACCAGGGATTACGGTGCACGAAATACTTCACCGGCGCACTGTCAAACACAAACCATTACCGTACACACTCAGAAAAATACTTTGACAACTTTCCACACTGTCTCGGTTTATTTTTACTCATATTTTACATTTCTTTTACCAGTTTTCTGCATTTTTGCATTAAATTGTCAGCACACGTCCAGTCCAAGTTTAATCAGTTATCATTTAATTTTAATTTTGTTTGTTTTCTTGACATTTTATTAAAAATAAATATTTACTTGTGAGGAGAAAAATAATTTCCGTTTGATTTATTTTTAGTGATTTTATTTCAATCTGTTTAAGATACTTACTACGAGCACTAATTTATGTTCATCCTCACTCTGGATTCTTGTTCAATTTTCAGTTTATATCTGGATTACTTGCAATCCGATTTTAAATATTTTATTCAGTTTTTTTCGGAGTTGTCAGTTGATTTGTATGTTTTTATCCTAATTATTTTTTTATGTATATATTTGTATGAATATTACTGCTGTACGGTAAGGCGTACGGTGCGGACCGTAAAGTGAAATACGTACTTACCAGAAAACGAATAAGCAGATGAAGGCCAGCGTGACCAGCAGCTGCACCATCAGAATGGCGTACGTCTGCAATATCAACCAAATTCATTGCCACTTCTCAACTGGAATACCACGTGTTCGCTGCATACTTTGCGGATGAAGGAGCGCCGGATGTTGGCATCATCGAAGGACGCCCCGAAGTTGGACGGCCGCGGCGGGAACTCCGTCCCGTTGCCGTCCAACGGTGCCCCCGTGATGACGACGCCCGGGGGCGGGGGCGGCGGGGGGTAGGGGTATGCGTAGCCTTCCTCCACGCGCCCCGGTCCGGCCATGTATCCTGTCAACAGCGCAACATCTCTCCTTAATTTCTACATCCTTATTCAACAAACAGAGTATAAAACAACAAGAAAAACATTCAACAACAAATCGCAGGAGCACGGGAAATCCTAGTTGATAACTTCCTGAATGTTATTTCAAGCGCCGTTGTATTTCCCTGTACGCTACCCAACAAATTAGGCAAGCCGTACAGGGAACTAACTGGGCAAAGATTTGCCAATTAACTAGCATGATTTTTAAATTCTTTCTGGAAGGATTCCAACTGACCTTGGCCTCCTGGCGGGGGGTAGGGATATTGTGGAGGGGGTCCTTGTTGTTGCGAATACATGACGGATAATTATAGGACAAGGCCAAGGGAACAAGTGCGAGATTCAAGGAGCGCTGCGAAAGAAACGGTGAATAAGCAGCCAGCAGATCATCAACACACTCCACAGTCAGCTGGCACTGGCGGCGGTGGGTGACGAGTCAGGTACGTGTAAGACGGGCAAAAAGACGCCAAGATGAAGAAATCACGTGGGGAAAGGAAAACAAATCCTCATCTTCTGAACACCAAATCAGCGGGAGATTATCGATTTTTATGGATGTTTGTTTTCGCTGAAATTCTGACTTCACCGTCGAAATTCATGCTTCGACAGGCAAAAACATCCAAAACAAACAGCGGAAGTATTGAAAGACTTTTCCAGTCGCCACACCGGGGGCGGTAAATGCCGTTCACGTTGATCTCTGTTGCTACCCCCTTATCTTTACTTGCTGCCAGTACCGGTCTAAAAATTAATTTGGTTCACATAAAACTTACATATGTGCTTGCCGAAACAAAACTAATTGTTTAACTTTATTGTAAATATAAAATAATAAGGAAAAGGTAGGTACGGTTATAAAAAAGAAATCCAAAATGTGTGAACATTTTCAACATGTTTTTTTCGAGGATTTGACTTCAGCTGCCTTTTGGTCAGTTTGCCACAGCGCGCCCACACACTACGAAATCTCCGTTTTAACCATGCACATTTTGCAATGCAAAGTTGTTTTTGAAAAAACAATTTACAGTATTCAAATGCTATGAAAATGCAGCTGCGGCAATACTACTGTAATTTATCGTTTTGCTATGTACTCGTTGCTTACGCATGATTTCTTAATTACGATTACGATCTTTCGAATTTTTCAATTGTTTGCATAAGTTCGCCGATTTAAGAAACACTTTTCCGGAGTGGACTGACACCAGTTGGCAGTCGGTTAAACTAGAATAATTACAAAGACTAGTCTTTGTACACTATTTAGTTTACGGCTTGTTTTCGTCAGGTCTATGGAAAGTCTGTAACCAAAATGTTACACGATTCTGATTCGCACATTTTAGGGGGGTGGTTTAGCACAGCACAAGCATCAAGTTACACAAAGGAAGATACTGTAAGGGACTATCTATAAGCTACGTTCCCGAAAATTCGTTCTGTACGTAGTTTGTGCATGGTCCCTAACTATACTGTTAATTACAAATTTAAAGTACACGAATAAATACGTAATTTGCACAGCGAGTCCGCGACGGAATGTTTTCGCTGACTGCGAAGCAGACGAGAAAACGCCACTTCGTGTTTTTATGCAACGGCCTTGCAGTTTATTTCGCACTATATAAAAACAAAAAAATATCTTTCGGTTTTTAATTGGAATAAATTAACAAATTAAGTACATGAACGAATTACTGTAATGATTATTGCAAGGTACAATTAATATGAATTGGGGACACACTTCAGTAAAAGTCAACATTAACAGTATCGGTACGGTATAAACGATTATACCGTCTTGGTGAATATACTGTCAAAAGTGCTTTAAAAACGCCCCAGGATGTTTTCGGCATTTCGATACGGTGTAATATATGAAGCATACAGGACAAATTTTTATTTGTACAAACAAAGGCATAAGCAAATGTGCTTAACTTATCAAGAAAAACCGGCTGCACACTGGTGCACATGTTCCATGTCGGCGTAATTCTGACAGCGAACACGCGGGAAAACCGGCATTGTATCCATATTAAAAAGCGCGTACGCAGCGATAAAAATTCGATACACGTTCGCGTCTGCGTACAACAATGTCGGACAGCATGTATACAAAGTTGATTACGAAAATAATCCAGATTAATCTCTAGCGGTACAAGCCAGATAAGATTCTTCTTGTCGCTACCGGCAAAATGCACTTTTTACTGAATTATAACATCTATTCCACTGTACATGTTGTACCGTAGCCGTTAAATACAGAATTTGCCGGCTATTTTGCATGATACAATTTTTTGAATATTCTCCTCACTTTATTAATTCAAAAAAAATTTTTTTGTTATTTATTAACCCAAAAAACATTTTTAATTTTTTTTACATTTATTTCATTAATTTTCTAGTTTTTTTATTCTGAAATGCCGGAAAAGTGTCGCGTGGCGGTGTTGGGCGCCGGCGCCAGCGGTCTGGCCCAGCTGCGCGCCTTCGAAGCGGCCCGGCGCGCCGGCATCCCCGCCGACACCCTCCCGGACGTGGTCTGCTACGAGAAGCAGAGCGACTGGGGCGGCATCTGGAACTACACGTGGCGCACGGGATTAGACGAATTCGGCGAACCGGTCCACTCCAGCATGTACAGATACCTGTGGTCTAACGCGCCCAAGGAGTGCCTGGAGTTTGCAGACTACACGTTTCTCGAGCACTTCGGGAAGGCCCTTCCCTCGTTCCCGCCGCGGGTGGTGCTGTGGGATTATATTACCGGAAGGTTAAAGAAGAGCGATGTGAGGAAGTATATTTGTTTTTGCACGGTGGTCCGGTGGGTGGAGTTCGATGAGGAGAGACAGAAGTTCCGGGTGACGGTGAAGGATTTGAAGGGGGATGTGACGCGGACGGAGGAGTTTGACTGGGTGGTGGTGGCCACGGGCCATTTTTCCGTTCCACATTTTCCGGTTTATCCAGGTAATGGAAATTTCATTCGCTACATAAATAAAAATTTTTACATAGTTTTACATTATTTACTTTATATTATACATATTATGTTTTTCTATCTTAATATTTTTTTAGTTTTATTAATTGTATTAATTAATTTAAATAATTGTCTTGTTATTGTATACCTCGTACAGTTTTTATTGTTCTAAATTTTTATTATTTCATATAATATCTTGGATAATGTCTTGAATTTTTGTTTCATCGTAAAGATGCTTTATTATTCGTTTAAGAACTACGATTTCTATGCGCTTTCAAAAGCTGGAATGGCATTTGTACCGTTGTATTTTGTAGCCACCGCCAGAAAAAGTACAGCACATGCACAGTACAGTACATGCTCTTCATGTGTGCTTTAGCGTACAGTTTCAGTTTCCTGATTTAAAATCAGTGATTATGCTGTTAGTTGTACAAGTATTTTCCATTTTTTTAAAGGCTTTGACATGTTTTACGGAAGTTCGACTATAAATACAGACTACAGATACCTAGTAATAGATGACCATCCAATCTCAGTTGATAAAGTGGGAAAATTGTTTGTTGATTATGTTTTTTTGCAAAAGTGGGTAGGTAATTCATTTAAGGAATAGGTTCGTCATCTAGAGTATATAACGTGGGCATACACCGGTAAACCTGGTTTACATAAGAAGATAAGAGTATTTTTATGCCTAATCCACCGACTACTCGTAAAGCACTTTACTAGCAACCGAACTAAACGTGCACGAATACAATAATCTGGACACTGTTGGTATCCAAATATATTAAGTGTAACTTCCGGTATGTACACGCACGTACAGATATATGTTTTCGCCGTAGGAGTACTATAGGAGAACACGAGAGCGCTCATAACGTAAGTTCTTATTTGGTGATTGCAATTTGAATTCACAACAAAATTTCCTTCAAACTAAGTTTTCTAACATAAACGGATGGATAATACTCCGTTTTTAGCATGGGCAAGTTGACGTGGGTACAAACAACCAATTAGGAAGCAAAGAGCATTAGTACATAGTAATACGTACGGATACAGATAAGTACGCATGTATTCGTATTTAAACAGCCCGTTACGTTACACATGGGATGGCAGCAATTTTTCAGGTTATGTCAGTGTTTTCGAAGCCTTGTGCTTCATTCATTCGCATCTATGTAAAACAAGTTTCTGGAACTTACTTGGGTATGCATATATTTTATGCCAATAAGTGTCATTTCCTGCAGCCTTTATCATTTGCTGCCCAGAGCTGAGTTTTACGAGTGTACACTGTACATATAAAAATACTCGTATGAAAATGCGTCTGTGTCATATGTGCTTTTTTAATGCCAACAGAACAGCACGGTGAGTGACCTTTACATTGAGGAGTAAATCTGTTTACTCACTCAGGGATGGATAAGTTTCCCGGGCGCATCCTGCATTCGCACGACTTCCGGGACGCGGCGGAATTCGCTGGTAAAAACGTGATGGTTATTGGGCGCAGCTACTCGGCCGAAGACATCGCTGTGCAGTGCCACAAGTACGGCGCGGCCTCCGTTATCATCAGCTCCCGTCGCGGCCCCTTCGGCTTCGACTGGCCCCCCGGCATCACCGAACGCCCGCTCCTGCGGGAGCTCCAAGGGAAGACCGCCCACTTCCGGGACGGGAGCACCGCGGAGGTGGACGTCATCATCCTGGCCACGGGCTTCCAACACCACTTCCCCTTCCTCCCGGACACCCTCCGCCTGCAGACCGCTAACCTCTTTTACCCGCCCAACCTCTACAAGGGAATATTCTGGAACAACAACCCGCGCCTGATCTATCTGGGGATGCAGGACCAGTGCTTCACCTTCCCGCTCTTTGACGCGCAGGCGTGGTACGCGCGGGACGTCATCCTGGGACGGATCACCCTCCCGGGGCGGGAGGAACGCGGGCGGGACGCGGCGCCGTGGCGGGAGAGGGAAGCGGCGTGGACGCCGGCGCAGAAGGACGAGGGGATAATGATCCACTTCCAGGGGGAGTACGTGCAGGACCTCCTGGACGCCACGGACTATCCCAAGTTCGACGTGCAGGCCATGGTGCGGACCTTCGAGGACTGGGAGCACCAGAAGGTGGGAAAGGGAGGCATCCTGACCTACCGGGATAAAGCCTACAAGTCTTTGATCACCGGGTGTATGGCGCCGGAACACCACACCAAGTGGATGGAGGAGCGCGATGATTCCTTTGATAACTTCATCCATGGCCCAGCAAAAAACTAGGCATGCCGGCTTCCGCTTCCTAACATGCAGCTCATTACTGTAGCCGCGCGTCCGATCGGGGGCAGGCAGCGCCCGGATCTAAAAGTGGTGCAAACTTATCGCGCGGCTACAGTAAATAAGCTAGTTTTTTTATGGTATGTTTATTTACGAATTGTTGCCGTCAATTTTACAACATAAGACTGACCTGAGTCACGCAGCTTAAAGGTCACAACTGGAAAAAAGAAACTTGAGGAAACTTCAGGAGGCCTAAGGAAACTTTAAAAATTCCGAATACAGCAATACGGTGCTGCACTGCTGATACCTGATAGTAGGATTATGGCTTCTTTAAAGAAATTTAATTTTTAAATTTTAAATAATCTTGTGTTGCAGTTCTGAAAATATCAAATAAATTTATTTGATATTTTCAGAAGTGCAACACAAGATTATTTAAAATTTTTAATTGCGTTGCAAATACCACGTAGTTGCGCTTCAACTGCTAACATTTGCCTGAATTCTAAGAAGTCGTCACATCGTAGTACGATGCCACAAACGAAATTCAGATGATAAATTACAAGGTATTAATTCCCTATAAAATCAGCATGCACTTCAAACAAGCAACGCGCTGCTCAACGTATTTCATATAAAATCCTTTTATTAACTTTTTAAATTAATCTAATTAATTCTTTCTTTCACTCGGTAATACAAAAAGAAGCTAAGGAAGAACTGAATTAAACAAAAAAAGGTTTGTTTAAAAAGGATTGTTGAATTAGCTCAAAAGAAGCATAAACAGTTTTTATTCACGCTAAAATTCCCTACAGAACAAACCGCCGCTATTTAACGCAACTGGACTGCAACAACAGCATACAACTGGACTTCATTATCACGATGTAGCAGCAGTACTCGTACTTAATTAAATGCTAACTGACGTAAAAAAATTACACTTACTGTTTTCAGATTAGAACAGCGAATGGCCCACAAACACCGCAATGTGTGGCCTGATGTTGTTTCATGTTCAGCCCGTGCACTACGTTGCAATTACGGCGAGCCCAGTATTTGTTGAGTTCGTTTCAGTCATAAGAAGATCGATCTGTGTCAATCCTCGTCTCATTGCGGGACGAGCATTGTGCCTACCTTACGGTATAGTTTTCTTGTATGTTTCTTATGATATGATAAAAAATAAAATTTTTGCTTGTACAAGTTTCAACAGAACGAGTAATAAATTATTATCTTCCGGCACAAAGGGGATGGCCAGGTAACTGTGATGATTTATCTCTATTAGTCAGTGTAAGGTCAGTACATGTAATATGCACATCAATGAGCGCCATTCAGTATATACAATCAAATGAAGAATCAAATAAATAAACAATCAAATAAACAATCAAATAAATTTGTCCCAATTAACATGAGAAGGGACTGTGCACAATATAGTGATTTAGTACATAGTATATAAGGTAAGTACCTATATGAATGTGTTCTGCCATGACGTGGAAATCTATACGGATGAGTAGAGCCGTACAGGGGAAGTGTATCACGTGCTACTGATTTTTCCCTATATTCAATGTACCGGTTATTAAGAGCTTCTTTTTTTTTCTTGGCCGTTTTGTACTTGTCGCATTCGCCGGGATGTGTTTATGATCTGCTTCTTCTCCCGCAAAATTTGTCTCCTTTGTGAAAAATAAATCAATTAGGTACGTGTATTGTGGGAAATAATGGCGAACAGGCTCGTTTTGTTCTGGTCATTGTATGGACGACAATTCTTACGATCCGATGATGCAGTCCGCTGGAGCACAACCTGTTTGTCCAGTTGCGAGCAGTGGTCAGTCTGTCTGCCTGTCTAGAGTAGCAAAGCGGTTATTAATCGGCTCAGCTGTCAAGTAGTGCGGATATTGCCAATGGCCGCCGATACAACAGGTAACCATCAATCCGCATCCATCCATCAGTCTGGCGTTATGCATCTACCTGTCGGATGTGGTGGCGATGATGATGAGCAGAGTCGGCTATGATTTATGAACGTACCTGCACAGATACAGTACTAAACGTCAAAACGGCCAGACTGACCGCTGGCCAAGCGGCGCCGCTATTCAAGAACTGCAGCCGCCGTCACAGCCCTGTCGTGTCCTGGCCAACCAATAATTATATACCTGGTATACGGCTAACAGATAACCAGCGCCGGGACAACGTCCTTGCGCCGGCTGGGCAATATTTCATATCTTCGCTGACTGTACACTCCCACGATCCTTATCGGTGTACGCTACGCATCTGTTGTTCCTGCCACTGATGAGTCGGTATTCTGCATAACGGTTAAATACCGTCGGTCAGCGACTAAAATTTGACCCTGAAAACTTACCGGTTACCGGCAACTTCGTGACATGTTTTTTAGATCTCGATAACTATACGGTCAAATCGCTTGAAACTGGAAACTTAGACGTTATTTGATGTGCTGAGTTCACGTCGACTATAGCTGCTTTTTCATACAGAGGCTTCATTCTGGCGCATATGGCGCAGATAAACGCTTCTCCGTTCGAAGCCAGGTCTGGCGATTTATGCGTAATAAATATGCTCCTGTTTGAGCACTGTTTGTTCATTTTATTATTTAATTTTTTCAACCACGGACCGACAGGCCAATTACCACTTTTTTAATCCTGTATCATGCAGACAAGATAGTCTGGTTAATTCCGATAACGAACAGAAATCTAGCCTGCCAAATATAGCCGCATGATCGGCAACGTAAGACTAAAAATGTAGCTGCCTCGTTTTAATTTTTAACGCTGAGTAAGGATAACAGTGTCCAGTTGATGAGCCGGCTCGTTTCTTCGTAATAATCGGTTCTGGAGCGGCTGTCAGCGTTTTTAAGGCGTGTAATAACCGGCTTTCCGCTTTCCCCGTCTGGACACCTCCGCACCGGGCAGTCAGATGGCTGTCCGCTGCACCCGCGGAGACGGCGCGGGCGCCGGCATTCTTCGTTGCGTGCGTCGCGACGCCCCCAAATGTTTTGCCTACACGAAGGGGTTACACCAAAGCCAATAGACTAATACTATTGGCTTTGGTTACACGCTGCATTCCTCCTCCGCCCGCTGCAGCCGATCTTATACATGTACACCCGGGGCGCTGTCGCCCTCTACCGTTACACCATACAGCCGCCCCCCGCGGGACGCTATTGTCGCGGACACAATGCCGACGCGCAGACGCGCATAATCCGCAACAAAAGTACGACGACACAGACGCATTATACCCTATAGTGCTCCGGCTGATCGTGCGCCCACCATAATCTCCTCATTACAACCGGCATTTATTTTACGACGGCGTAATGAACTTGACTTTTCGCTTTCCCTCGTCCACCGATCGCTCATATCAACCGCTAAAGAAGAGAGTGTTTTTCTTGAAAAGTATAGATGCCGGTTAAATGGGCGAATGAGCGGGTACGATGTGATAATGATCGGGTAGCCCGTTTTCCATTACCACGGCCGGCAAAGATGTAGCGCTGTAATTACTGCGCGGAAAAGTGTAGAGTAGCGGCACACGGGCGCTAACGAGAGATACGAACGGTGCCGACAATCGGGCACTTAACGAGCCGATCTGCGCGGCAGATTGCTGATCCGATCGGAGATCAGCCGATGATCGCTGATTCGAGATGTGATGTGCACTATCATCCGCATTGCATCGGGATCAGTCCAGTCGCACCTGATCAAATGAAGGTTATACACCGAGTGGATGACCGGGTTGTGTGCCTAAAGGGCAGCTTCGTTAAGCGGCTTGTTGATGGCGATTATGGTGATTATTATCCAACCGGCGCGTTATTGTCTATCGAGAATCGAGATCAGCTGAAACGGCTGTTTGATTCGGGAAAATAACCAATCGATTACTGTATCGAAACGGCACTGCTTGTTAGAGATCTCCTAAACACAGCTTGCAGCGTTAAACATCCAAATTACATTCGTAATCCGCTACTGGATAATAATAATTATAACCCACATTATTTACAAAAGCGAAAATAAAACGTTCGAATAAAATATTAACAAAATCAACAAAAATCATTGATACTAGATTCAAATAAAATAAAAATATAAAATAGTGTAGCAATATTCACTAATACACGAAAACAGAAAAATCGAATAAAATTCAAATAAAATCAACGAAAGTAATTCATATTACATTCAAACAAAATATAAATAAAATAGTAAAGTGACCTTGATAAAATTTATTTAAAATAGAAATTAATAAATTCAAAATATGTGCTTGAAAAAAAGAAAACACAATGTGTTTTTCACAGCACAATCGACGCCGCTGACGTCGTTGTGTGCTACATGATTTTCCCGGAACGTGTTGCCAGTGCGAAGGATAAAACGGAAGCCGGTGCAGAGGGATGACGGCAGCCGGATGTGAAATAGCCGGGGAATTGCGGGATTGCCACTCCGGCGTCCATGCGTGCGTGCTGCAACGGCGCTCTGTGCTGCTGCACCGCGACCGGTTGAGTGATTCCGGCGTTTCCTGAGCCAGTCTCCACTACCGTGCGCTACAGCGCTGTATAAAACTGCCTCTGACCCGGCCGCGTCGCAGCGCGTAATTAGTGGAAGCGCGCCGAGGTCATGCGCTTTTTCTCATTGAGCGTGCAGTGTGTGTATAGTGTAGCCATTGCTATTCAGTATTGTATCAGCCGGCGCTATGAACGAGCGCTCATGCGCGACCTCACCCGGCTGCTGGAGTTCTCATGCCAAAAAAACACAGCACACACACAATTCACGTCAAGCGTGGCTGTGGCGTCGTATCTATACAGCCAGAACGGACTGCTTGTCTACTCATGCGAAGTGTATGCGCTGCAGAACGGATGTGCGTATTCTTCACAAATGTTTATATATACACCGGCATTCAGTGGAATTTAAAAAAGGGTATTTTTATTCCGTCGACGAAAACCGGACAAACCGTATTTCTAAGCTTATACTGTCTCTGTTCGTTTACACACGCAATGCATATATAAATTTGTATATTAAATATGTATAAATGAAAATACATATGCGACTAAAAACGGAAAGCAAACAAACCATATTTTTCGAGTATTATGTTGTCGTGAGATTGCATTCTCCGTTCGTCTACAAGTATGGCATATAATTTTTTATATATGCGGCCAAAAACCGAACAAATACTGCCACTCTACAGCCGCGCACAGCACACGGCCCAAAGGTCACTGGTGGTTAACAGCGCGCCATGCAGTGGGAGAAACAGACAGAGACGTGGCACACCGAATCGTTGAATGCATTGGGAATTTGAATTTCGTTTATTGTACAACAGAAAGAAAAAGAGAGATTAAGAGTTTTTCCCGGCATTTTAATTTCGCCGGGGTGCACGCGTGTACTAAGGTGTGGAGGCTTGGCCAGCGGGGGGAGCGCGAGTGCCGGGGGGAGGAGATCAGAATCGGGGGTGGGGTATTCGGGGAGTCTGAGAATGTCGCATCCGAGGAACCAATTTGGCCAATAATTCGCTGCCGGGTGACGTCACTGCGGAGCGGCCGCTTTAACAATTAATTGGGCCATTTGGCCTGGTGGCCGATATTCTCCGAGGGATACCAGTACTGCTGGTGGTGCGCCGCCGCATGGTGGTGGGCCGGATGCTGGTGGGGGTGGTGGTGGTGTTGGGGGCCGCCGCCCAGGAAGGGCGGGTAGCCGGGGGCGGGCATGTTGATCTGGTTGGTCATGCCGAACTGCGAGGGCTTCGTGTCGCCCCCACCCCCGCCCATCCCCACCTCCCAGGGCTGCATGGGCGGGGTGTAGGGGTGCGCCGGGGGACTGCAGGCCAGGCTGCCGTTGGTGCTCTCGGGGCCTCCTGCTGCTGTTGCTGCTGCATGACGGCGCAGGACAGCGGCGCCGTCTGGATGACGCTGGCGTTGACCGGGGAGCAGTTGCCGGGGGAGGGTGTCGCCCGGTGTGATCGCCGCCCAGCGGGCTCCCCGGGTCGTCCGACTCCGGCGTCCGCTCATTGACGAAGTTCTTCCCGCCTGGACCGGCCGCTCCGCCGCCTGGTTTACCTTTGCCCTGTTTCTTGTCCTTTGAGCGCCGGTTCTGGAACCATATTTTCACCTGCAGATATGCATACATCAAACCGTGACCTTTAGAAAATTTTCTGCTTATAATTACATACCAAAACTATATTAAACTGTTTTAATTTTACTTCGTATTTCGCTGTATTTATTATTTTATTCCGAAATTTATTTACATGGTGACCTTTAATAACTGTTTTGCTCAAAAATCATGATTGTAGGCTTAGCATGTTTCTTAAATTGTATTAATCAGTTAACCGGATATCGTCTGCTGATATTTGTTAACCCTTTTCAAAATAAATTTAATTTTAGTTTGGATTATTTCATCTATGGCCCCCTTTTTCGGCTTATTTAGTACAAGCGCGATTCATTAATAAATTTTATTGCCTGTAGTATTTGTTTGGCCTTTCCAACGTGTCCCACTTATTAAATATTTACGTAACAAATTTCTACAGTAGTGCAGCGCAAAAGGCCAGCCAGCGCGTTGTTGTGCTGTACAATGCGGCGCAGCGGGCCCATTGCGTGCCGGTGGTGGTGCTGGGCGCTTTGAGTGGTGCATTTTGCATCAATTATTGCGCGATAATATTTGATATGGGCACGCAGGGAATCCAGGACAGGGATTCCGTCGAGTGTCGTGTACACAGTGTACACTCTCGGGCAGACATTGTGCCACGGGGAAGCCCCTTCGCGCCTGCCAAACCCCGGCTCATAATGGTGAATTAAGAGGATTTATGACAGCTGTAAACCTGTTCTCTCCCCGGCCACACTGCACACACACTCTCCGGCCTACGCAGCTCGTGCCAACAACCCGACTTTTCCAATCATGCCTCCACACTTTTAGCCACGGCTTTGCAACTTTACACGCTACCATGCCATTTATACAAGCCGCCGATTTACATATGGATATACAAATAATAATAAAAAAATTAATAGCTCTTTATCGATGTTAATTCTCCACACGTATTTAATACTTAGTTAATATCTTCTTCCATAATCATTTGCTGACGAAAGAGCTGGCTTATTTATAGCAATTTTTTTTATTTAGCAAAGTAAGCCTATTTTTATTTAGGAAAGTAAGCCGATTACCAATGAATTTTACTAAGAAATTATACTTAAAACGATGCTAATTAAAATCTGTTATAAATGTTAAGGAGATGATACGTAAATAAAATACTCTGAGAAACGGTGAATAATCCTTCATGTTTGTATATTAATATATGGCTGATAATGCGGTGTGCTGACAGGTGAAATGTGGCGCCGTATGTGGCACGCCGATCGCGGATAATACAGGTTAGCCGTTTTTGATGAACATGGTCAAGATGGCCGGTGCGGATAATGCGGAAAACACTGGTAACACGGCATGAGAAAACATGAGCCAATCTCTACAGATGTGCTGTTGCTGGCAGTGATTGATGTGTTGGGCCATTAGGTCTGGCGAAACAGCAGTGGCGCTCGTGATTGGAAAATACGCTCAGCGACATGACACTGTCACTGCTGCGTTTGCAGAGCCAGCATACGCACGACACTAGCCACTGCGAGCAGATATAAGCAGCGCTGACGGATTACGTAAGGCATTAGGCCAATTAATTGATTACGGGCCGGTGTTGAACACACGGCCGCATAATATCCGCAGCATCCCGCGAGATTCGGAATCTGCTTAGCCATTACACTGGCCGTGTGGTTGGCGGTGGTAATGAGTCCCGCGAGACGCGCATTAACACCACCGGCTAATGCGCGCCATGGATCATTCCCGCGCCGGGATTTTAATGACTTTTACCCGCAACTTCAAACGCGCAAGCATTCTTCACTCGTCTGACATCACACCGTTATTTACCGGCGGATTGTGCTTATGGGAAAAAAAATTTGCGTTGACTGTTGTCTTACATATCATTGATAATTACCGGCTAATTTGCCCATCAATAAAAACGGCGAATGTCACTCTAATTTCGCGTTATGTTTTTCTCCAGAGAAAAACCGGCTTTCATCGGCTTAAAATTCGAGCCATAACCTAACCATAATTTTAGTAAATCCACAAGTATTAATGAAGAAAGTTCGCTTTAAAACAATTTTACTTAACGGCGAAATAATGTAATAAAATATGATATGCGATTAGATTGATGATGAACCGCAAACTGCCGTTAATACGCCATAAAGCTATTACCTAAGAATAATTTTAGTAAATGCACAAGTGTTATTGAAGGAAGCTTTCAAGCTAGTTTGCTCAGCGGTAAAATGAATGCATAAAATATACAGTACGGGAATAAATTTTATTTAAATCGCAAATCCGAGCGTTATCTGCCGTTAATACGCCATAAATTTCGGGAATAATAATTCCGGCATAATTCCGCAGTGAACGAGTGGATGTAAATCAGAACCCGGATGCATGTATGAAAGCTTGCGTGATTGGAACAGGGTCAATCTGACACTCATAGCCTGCCACGACAATGGCGCTGAAAGGTGCCACTGCACAGACACTCAACGCAGCAGCTGACCAGCGGATGGGAGCGGTGCAGTTGAGGACACGCAAGGCTTACTCAACTAACGAGAGCCCACTCCACATATCGCCCCTTAACATAGCGCACACGACGACCGGCCGGTTCGGTGTGTTGCGTGACACGATAGCAACCCCGGTGATTAATTGCTGCGGCGGGCTGGGAATTTTCTAGATTTTCTCTAATAATTCGGGGAACGAGACTTACTTGGGTCTGGGTCAGTCCCAGGGAGGCGGCCAGTTCGGCCCGCTCCGGCAGGGCCAGGTAGTGGGTGCGGGTGAAGCGTTTGTTCAGCTGCTGCAGCTGCAGACTGCTGTAGATGGTGCGCGGCTTGCGCATCTTCTTGCCCTTTCCGTTGCGCATTATCGTCGTCTCCTCCAGCGGCTTTTCGCCTGCCAATATCAAGCACAATCATCACTCTTCCACCACACATATTTTATTATTAACCTACACTTCTTAAACCTCATATAATTAATTATTAAAATAATCCACAATTAATAGCATAATAAATAGATAAAATAATCTGCAAAAATTAGGGAAAAATCGCAGAATAAATAGCTTTTAAGTAAAATCGCGCCGGTGTCTTGGCCTTTTTCTTCGCAAAGCACTTCTCTTTTAAAACTAATCAACTTCTCGACAAAATCTCATCGGCGCATCGGACAGATTGAAAACCGCCCCTGTGTGATGCATTCTTGACACATTACTGCCGCGGCAAGCGGCACTGGACGCTGCCGCGAATGCAATTGACTGTGAATAAAAGGACAACCTGCGGGGAATTAGCTTTAACCGCTTTCCACTCGGTATTATCCTACTACATCGTCCCATCCTCATTAATCCGCATCGCTAATCAAAACACACGCATAATTGTCGCGTACACCGGAACGGGCGCGCGCGCACACTGTATATCTACCGTGGCAATTAAGGTCACCGTCTGACACATTCTCCACACACTGGCGCAACACCCCGCAATTGTACTTGTCAGGGCGCCCGCGTAACCAACCGCTCATTAGACCCATCACGGCGCCCAATGTAAACATCATCAAGCGTAATTTAACTGAAATGTATCCAAGTTTTAAAGTACGCGCGCACACACCCGACGGTGACCTTGTAATCAGCGCTAATTAAATGCTATAACAGCCCGGCCGTGCGCGATGATAGCCCTGATAATGTTTTGTTGGAAAGTGGTTGGTAGTTAAACGGCAATCCTGTCAGCTAACAAATCACCCAGCACCGACGCGAGATTAAACATAATTACAATAATTACGTGTGTAGAGTCAGTGCAATTACGGTGGTCCGCGTGCTTAAGTGTTTTTAATGATGGCTAAACGACGATGCTGTCTCGGTTGGTACTTGGTACTTATCGGGCGACCCATATAAAGCACCCCGGTGAAAAACACAAACACTGACTAAACGGTTTCTGATGAATAATTAACTAGACATTAATAACGTAATCGGCAGATTAATGCACCGAAGACGTAAGAAATCGGATTAGTGACAGGAAAATTTATTTTTTTATACACGTTGACGTACCGTCGGCCGGCGGACTGGGACACGCGGAGGAGTAGAGATTCAGTCCGGTGAAGGCGTTCTGCGCGGCCGCGGCCGACTGCCCGTAGTTCTGATGGGAGAGATGGTGTCCGGCGTACGGGTAGCCGGAGAAGGGCCGTGCCGAATTGACGGCCTGGGCCGCTGCAGAAAACACAGCGTCATGCGCGGAGGGATGCGGGCCAGACATGCTGGTGCCGCCGCCCATCGCGGCGTAGCCTGTACTGCGGATGTTGGGGTAGGCCGCCGCCATCCCGTAGTTATGTTGGATCTCCATGCAACCACCACGCGGGCGCTGCTTTAAAAAAGCGGAGATCGCGTGCCGCGCCAAGTAATAATTACGATGACGTCACTCGACGGGGCCCAGGGAGGCTAATGGCTTAATCGCCGTATTAAAACTCTCTCTCAACAACGCCGCAATTATCCTAATTAAAGTGGCCAGCGTCGCGGCTGGGATTCGTGTAGCGTATCCACTTAAAACACCACCACCAATTATGGACGATTAATAAAACACCAGCGACTTTTCTCGTCAGTCGTTGAAAAATTCAATTGGCGCAATAATCTTGTGGAGAACAGTGTAATTCCGTGAATCGTGCGTTTGATGGGCATGCAGAATGGCATACACGCATACACACTATACAAGTCGCAGTCAAGAAGCTCGCGCCTGCCAATACACGACGCTGGCTGGTGAATAACTGATTAGACGAAGAGAAATTGCAGTTGACGTTAAATGCAGTTAAGTATAGGACATGCTGACTGCCTATCGATTGGCTGACTGCTGACTATGCACTACTCATACGGAGATATGCTACAGGCGCAAATGCCGCGCCAACGAACGCGTCTTCAATACACACAACACAGAGAGAAGGGTTCCACGCTGTCAACGGCGCATCATTGGACCAATTCCGATGCAGGGATGCGCGGTAAGAAGGCAGTAATTGCCCGATGGAGCAGCGAGATAGCACCCAGCGCATCCCTTGATTACTCCGCTGACGACAGTCCACAGGGCGTTAGCTCCGCCCCCCGTGTACCATCAGCCGCGCGCGGATTGGCTGCAGCGTTTCTTCAGCGTTATGGATCCACCGTGCTCAGTGCAATTATTACACCGTCTTACACACGGTCACCGCTGATTACCGCCGAAATCTCGTCTAATTTATGTTTTTACCGGGAGATTTTTTTTAATGGAGAAATTGCCGCTGTACGGTAATTAGGCGCATTAGGTGGGTGGATTAATTAAATCAATTTGTACCGGGTTTTGTCCCGGTGTGTGTGGAGATGTTGTTCACTTGTTCCCGGTAGGAGAGAGGGCGGGTGCGTGGATATTGTTCGATGCGGCTGAATAGAGCGAAGCATTGTGTGTGTGCAGTGGAGTAGCGAATAGCCGCGGTAGAAAAGGTACAGCACTCAAAAGGGATCAAGACTCCTCGCTTTCTTTTCAACGCCAATGAACTGCCGAGGAGTTGATCAACACGCTATTGTCGCCGGTGTGTGTGTTGTTCTGTCCTCATTATTCTTGTTCAGATCAACAAAAGCGGGCGGTCGCCGCTCGCAGGCAGGAAAAGCGTAATACCGTCTCTATAATTTTAATGACGCTTTTTGTAAATTCTTGATACGCTTTTTTAAATTCTTGCTACGCTTTTTTAAATTTCTGCGTACGCTTTTTATAAGCGTGATGGGTCGAAGCAGGGAAATAAAATGTACGGTAGCCGGAATGCGACAGCGATCGCGGCAGGGAAGCCCACTCATTACTGACCGGTGTCCGGCGCATTTACATGCTCAGGTTTTGACGCTTTTATATACAGACATGTCTATACGCTTGTGTAGCGTAATAAGCATACGGGATCCGGTTGGCGCGGCCGGATGATTATCGGTGGTGTTACGGGCACTGATGACTACTCCGCTATCGCATCTCCCCATCTCTCGCTACCTGTCCATCCTGTCTGCTGATGATGGCGGATATTTAATGGCCTGCCGAGCACAGCACAAAAGACCAGCCGAGACGCTCGGCGCCGCTCACTCATAAAATCCCCACAATAGACACGGTCACAATGCCGACAACGCTACAATCACCGTAGAGATAATTATCTGTCCCGTAACACAGGCGATGCAATATTAACGGTCCAGTCGAAAATTAACTGGCATGAACCTGTGCAACGCGCGCCACAATGCACACACAATTTGTCCAGCAAATAATATTGTCATACAAGTCTATTACAGCAACTATTTGTGCAGCGCAATAAATAATCGTTTTTATTCAACTGAAAATTCGAAACTGAATAGTCTGAAAAATCGATTAAGGAAAAGAAATTCATACCGATGTGAACTACAGCACGCCACGCCACTATTCACGGGTAACGAGAACAACATAACGCAATTCACGCAAAATAATCTGTTATAAAATTAACATAAAAAAATATAAATAATAAAAATCCAGCATTTGTATTATTAAGTTGTTATTAAATAAAATCATCTAGACATTTGCAGCTTTACTGTATTATTTCAATAATTTACTGTCTTATTAGAATATGTATCGTTTTTGAAAATAAATCTGAACAACTTTGAACCAGTTTCAATGAGGGAAATGGTTGCAAAATCCCTTTAGAAGAGCCCTTGACATTTGAGCGGAGATGCTGCAACGGGGAATACTAATTGTGGACGTAATGTTTAGCGTATCAATGAAAGGCTCATTTGATTATTGTATGACTATGGAGCGAATGAATGCCCGTGCGGCCTAATGAGGGAAGCGTCCTAAAGCGGCCACTTGAGGTCGCTGATTGTGCCGATTAGCTGTGTGTGGAGTGGAGACAAAGCCGAGAGGGACAAGAGCGCGCCGTACGTACCACAGCTGAGCGTATACAGTGGCCATTCGATGATCCGATTAGCGTCTGATTATCATTTGATATTCAGGCTTCAAGTGTCAACTCTCCAATCCTTGTATTATATACACAGTGTCCGTGACACTAATGACCGTGTCGCTCTTATCGCCTCTTATGTATTTATTATATATATATGCAAATTGCATGACCTTATCGCTTGTACGATTAACTAAGCACCGGTTTAACCACTGTGGAGAAAAATGTTCCAGCGTCAGCAGTGGAAATGCCGGTGCATGTTGATGCCGGAAAAAAGCCGCACGACCGGAAACTCGTGCCGGCCGGGGCGGACTGCATCAGCGCGCTGTCGAGGCATTTTCATTCTCTCTCTCTTTCTCGCGTATAGTCGCTCTTTCTCTCTTTCTCTCTCGCTCGACAACAACAAAAATAATCGCTCATGCGTACCACGTAAAATAGGTTGCTTGACAAGATGTTTTATGGCTAAACTCCGCGCTTGACTTGGCGCAGGACGACACATTCATGCTACCGCGCACTATTGATCCGCTATCATAAGGCCTTGCTTTCTCTCTGTACAGAGGTAAGCTTCAACGTGCAACGCACTTCAAACAACACACCCCGAAATTGCCTGCGTTTTTAGCTTTTTTTCGGTAGACGCGGCAAAGTCAGTAGCTAGGAGAATGGTTGGTCTAGTTATTTTTATTCCGTTCTGCTGTTTTGCTGTTTGTAAAAATGCTCCAGTTTTCATGACCTACTTTCTGGTGGAAATTATGAATAAACCAGAAGCTCGCTGCATTTAAACAAGCCGTGATCACACTAAATTTTAAAAATACATTTCAATATAATTTTAAAAATATATTTTAAATATCGTATAGAACGTTTTCTATTTAAAATATACGTGTATTTTTATATTTTTAAAAACCTTTTTAATAAGGCTGCTGGTTTATACTAAGGACCTTTTATTTGCATTTTTTAAAAATTATAAAAATGTCTACGACTGGGAAGAGCATAATTAAAATCTGTGCCCTTTGACGTCGACCTCTGCAGCCTGGTAAATCGCACAATTTTAAAAGCCGCCGATTGCCTGCGTTGTCAACGGTCGCGGCTGGGCGAGCGCGGCTGCGGCGCGGCGCGGCGTCTTGCCGCAAGGTCACCGCCCAGGTACGGCGGGAAGGGAAGTGCCACAATAAGGGGAACAATGGCACAATAGGGCGGCGTTCCACTCGGCCGGGCGCGGCCCGGCCGCTAATGGACTGCCGGGGCCATTGTGCGCCGGGGCCGCCTTGACAGCTCCCGCAACTGACCAGCCGACCGCGTCATCGACACTAATCAACTCCGCTGAATACCCTCAATAAAAGTCACAGTTCATTTTCCCAGCGCAGGGCGTACGGCACAGATCACGGGGAAAATTAGAAGACGAATAACTTTACGTCCCGAAAAGGCCAACAGCGGGCGCCGGGTGATTTTCAGTTTTATTTATTTTTATAATTTAAAGAAACTGTCGAAAACCATTTATAAATAGGCGCCGGTTAAATTTATTTTTTTTGCAATTTAAAAAAATATTTACGAAATTGTCGAAAGCATTTTATAAAATCAAAAAATAATCGCGGCCAGTTGAATCTAATTTTTCAGTGTGTTTTTAGAAAATTCAACAAAAAATATTCTTGTTTGCAAAAAGCGAATACTGTTAATAACAATTAACGGGCGCCGGTTACGTTGATTTATTTTTATGGAGTAAGAATATTGCATAAAAGTGTTAAAAATATTTGCAAAAAAAATCAGTATAATGTTTTGATAAATCTGTTAATATTTACCAAAAATTGTTTAGGTTTACAGAATATTAACACCGGGCGCCGGTTAATTTTTCCACGTTGGATATGTTTTTGTCTAAAGATTATGTCTGAAAGTGTCAAAACGAATTTGCAAATAAAGTCAATCGCCGGATTGATATGGTTTCTTGATAAATTATTTTCCTAATCAATTACTAAACAATTGTTCAGCCGGAGTTAAATGTGCTGAGAAATCGGTGTTCTTGACAAGGAAACGACATCCATCAATAACTGTCAGAATGTTCGAAAAACGCCGCCCGCGGGCATTTTCATATCTACAGCAAAACGGCCCAGGCTCTCTTCGCGAGTTTTGTCTTTGGCGTTTCGACCCCATTTCCCTCACGGTTTCCCTGGTGAAAAACGGTTGCAGTTCCGCTGCAAGTATTTGTCGAGAAAACTGTAACAAACGCGGCAGTCGCGGCGCGACAGAATATTTCGTATATATATGAAAGCGCCGCGAGGCAGCGTCGCATTTTCTCTCTAGTCTGTATCACGCAGCAGGGGCATCTGTCATATTTTGTCACAATTGACGAAGCCACTGTTCTTAATGATAGGAATTCCGCTGCTGGCTGAAAACACAGAGAAATATATATTTTTTGCCCGACGCCGATAAAATCCGACACTGTGATGACGAGTGAAAAATGAGCCGCGGTTAATGGCGGCGTGCTGCGTATATATACGCGTATATATATAACTATCCATTGCCGGGGTCATTATTAAATTAACTCGTCGTCACCCTCCGCTTGATTGAGCGAATAATTTCATATAATTTCCATCGCACTGTGTGTTGCTCAACAAAATGTTAACAAGATAATTTCCCGTAATTCGGCTATGGAGATGTTTGCCAGCGTTTAAACGTTAAACGGTGTGTATTTTGCCGGTTTCAACAGCAGCTGCGGCCGGCTGACGTAGCGCTTTAAATTAGCCCTGGTTAGTGATGAGCCCGGGTGATTGTCTTAGGGCGGTAAGCCGGGTAATTTCGGCGACGGGATTCCGCGGACGGGACGCCGGGGGATCCGCCCCGCGCGCCCCCACCTTGGAAGAACAATGCGCCGGTGCGCGCCAGATGATCAGCGAGCTGTCTAATCAGTGATTAATATTAGCTGCACGGCCTGCACCTAGCTGCTATTATATGCGCTGCACCGGCACACCGGGAAGATTGCGCTGATGATTTGAATGCCCATTGCGTGACACAATGACAATAACGAAATTTATTGTAGTAGTATAGTATAGAAAAAAATATAAAATAAAAAATAAAAAAT